CCTTCCCCGCCCCCCTCCCTGATCCCAGCTTTCCCTCGAGCCTCCTCTCCTTTGCACAGGCCCAAGACCTCTTTGAGGAAGCAGGCGATGCAGCCCGCCCTTCCCCGCCCCCCTCCCTGATCCCAGCCTTCCATAGAACCTACTCTCACTGTCAAAGGCCGAGGACCTCGTTGAGGAAGCAGGCGATGCAGCCCGCCCTTCCCCGCCCCCCCCTGATCCCAGCTTTCCCTCGAGCCTCCATTCCCTGGCACAGGCCTAGGACCTTTTTGAGGAAGCAGGCGATGCAGCCCGCCCTTCCTTTCCCGCCCCCCGATCCCAGCCTTCCCTCTCCTCTCCCTGGTACAGGCCCCGGACCGCTTTGAGGAAACACGCGGTGCAGCCCGCCCTTCCCCGCCTCCTCCCTCCTGATCCCAGCCTCCCTTGAGCCTCCTCTCCTTTGCACAGGCCCAAGACCTCTTTGAGGAAGCAGGCGATGCAGCCCGCCCTTCCCCGCCCCCCTCCCTGATCCCAGCCTTCCTTAGAACCTTCTCTCCCTGTCACAGGCCCAGGACCTCGTTGAGGAAGCAGGCGATGCAGCCCGCCCTTCCCCGCCCCGCTCCCTGATCCCAGCCTTCCCTCGAGCCTGCATTCCCCGGCACAGGCACAGGACCTCTTGAAGGAAGCATGCGATGCAAGGCCCAGGTCCTCTGCGAGGAAGCAGGCGATGCAGCCCACCCTTCCCCGCCCCCTCCCCTCTCCGAAGGCCCCTGTTCAGCCACCGTGGTGCCCGCTGCAGATACCCCAGGCCCAGGTGTCGCGCGGGCCTCGCTGGCAGATCGCGCGCCCGGCAGCTCCCGTGAGGGGGTGGTGCGGATTGCAACGCTGGTTACAACGACCTCGACCCGCTGCAGTGGGTGCGCGGCTGGTCGGGCGCGAAGAAGCTCTACTGCTGCAAGACCGCGAACAAGGCTACTGCACTGCCAGCGGAGAAGAGCGCATGCCGATGCCGATACCCCGCCCTCACCCCCGCCCCTCTCGCCCCCCCTCGCCCTGACCCTCGCCCGCCCTGACCCCCGCCCTGAACCCCGCCCTCCTCGCCGCGGCCCCACCCCCTCGACACCGCCAAGGGGCTCGACCTACGCGGTGTTTTGACGATTTCGTGGGCCGTTGTCGTTTTGCCTTCGTTTCACAGCGGAGGCGGGACGAAAGAAAAACGAGGCCCTCGCGGCCCTGGCCCCCCCCCTTCGCCCTCCCTGACCTTCGCCGTCCTTGGCCCTCGCCCCCCTCGCCCCCTGACCCTCTCGCCTCCCCCCCTCGCCCCCCTCGCCCCCTGACCCTCGCCCCCTGACCCTCGCCCCCTGACCCTCGCCACCCCCGCAGCCCACCGCCCCCCCCCGCCCTTCTCGCCCTCGCCCCCCCCCCCGCCGTTCTCGCCCTCGCCCCCCTCGCCCTCGCCCCCCCCCTCCCCCTCGCTCCCCATCGCCCCCTTGCTCCCGCCTTCCTGGCCCGCTTTGTCGGGCCGACCTCGTCGCCACGGCGCTCGGCTCTCTCGCCTCGGGAGAGACGTCGCCCGGGCCTGGGCGTATTGCCCCTCAGGGGAGAGAAGAGTCTTGGGGGAGCATCGGCCAATTATCGGCACCTCTGGGCGCCCTCCACTTTCGAATCATATCAATAATGATGATCATGGTAATGATGGTAATAATAATGATAATCATACTAGGAATAATAATAATAAGAATAATAATAATAAGAAGAAGAAGAAGAAGAAGCGCACCCAGGGAGCATCGGTCATCGTCGACATCTCTGGACGCCCTAAAAGAAAAACGTCATAAACAGAAACATTTGGCGCTCCGCGCGGATTTCTTGGACCCGCGCTGGGCCCCCCCCGGCGGTGCCTCCGAAAAGACGCCACAAACATAAACTTTGCGCGGATTTCTTGGATCCGCGCTGTGCCCTCCCACCCACACCCCCCCCGGCGGCGCCTCCGGCGCCGCCACTGGCGCGCTCCGAGCGCCAGGGAGGGGGGGGGTCCAACGAAGATCCAAGAGATCCGCGCGGAGACCCACAAGTTTATGTTCATGGCGTTTTTCAGTCTTCGACACTTGCGGGAATGGGATCTCGAGCCAGACCAAGCAGGACGTGATTGCCTTGACGCTGCTCGGAGCTTTCCCCTCGGGGAGAGCACCGGGCCAAGCCTGGATTCCAACCTTTTTTGTGTTGGTATCCCCACTTGCGAAGGCAATGGAGTTCTTCTTGTCGGAATTCCGAAAAGCGCCTCAAGACCGCCCAACAACATTGATGTCTATCTTTGGTTGTCGTCGACGGCGGCGACGAACGTTACATAGATTGTGCAGCCATTTGCAAGACTCCCCGCCCCGCGGGGGTGGGGCCCTTGGAGGCGCGTCAAGCAGGATGTTGTCACCAGGCTTGTGGCCGGGGGGTTTTGCCCTCGGGGAGCGACCCGGGCCCAGCCTCGAATTCACCCTTCTTGGTCTTGCGAGGGTTCCCCCCTCCATTCGACTGGACGTAAGAGTGACCTTTCGCCGGGGTGACCTTCAGCCGCGCACCAAAGGTCATTCTCGCCCAGGGTCGCTCTTGCTTGTAGTCGACCCATGCAAGGGGTGCCCCTCGGAGCTGCCGCCCCCGTCGGGCAAGCCGCCCTCGGGCCTGCCGCCCGCCCCGGATTCCAGCGAGTACGACTGCGACGCGGGGTACCACCACTGCATGCACTGCCTGAAGCTGTCCTGGTCGTCGGGGGCCTTCGGTGCACCAGCTGATCCACCTCTCCCTCTCATCCTCCCTCCTGCCCCCCCTCAATAATTATCTTCCTGCTCCTCCTTTCTCCTCCTTTCTCCTCCTTTCTCCTCCTCCTCCTCTCTCCTCCTCCTCCTCCGCCTCCTCCTCCTCCTCCTCCCTCTCCTCCTCCTCCTCCTCCTCATTCCTCCTCCTCCTCATCCTCCTCATTCCTCCTCCTCCTCCTCCTCCTCATTCCTCCTCATTCCTCCTCCTGCCTGCACTGCCTGCAGCTGTCCTGGCCCCGCGGGGCAGCCAAGATGCCGCGGCGCGGCGCGCGGGGTTCGGCCTTGCTCGTACGGCCCTGCTCTCTGGAGGCTCTGGAGCTGCGGATTCTCGGGCGCTGCATGATGGGGTCCATACAGTGGAAACCCATGCCAAGACACCCTGCCTGCCTCCAGGGTGCCCTGGGTTTATTGGGTGCCCTGCGTGGCTTGGGTTTCGATGGCTTCGCTACGGAAAGCGCGACAATACCACACCAAGAAGCAAGGGACGCCCTGGGGCTCCAGGGTTGGGTTCCTTGTGGAAGGTTTCTTGTGGTCGGGCTCCTACTGTATTCGCACTTCTCGGTTCGGCTCCGATTCATCTTCTTCTTCGTCCCTGAGGGGCGGCGCGAGAGCCTGAAGTTTTTCGCGCTTCACGCAGCACGAAGCGCGACGTTGGGCGCCCTTGGATAAAGTCAAGCCGCACAGTGAGGATGAGCAACTTCCCGAGGTTGTCCTTGCATGGTCCCTTCGGCCCATCCTTGGCGACGTTCGCTGGCCAACACGGCTCGAAGAACGTCGACATGGCCTTCCAAGGCCCCTGCATCCTCACGGCGCATCCTTGTCACGCGTATTGGCTGTACATTGGAGGGGGGAAGAAAGGTCCACCTTCTGCGCCCGAAAGGCCTCCCCCCCCCCCGCTGGGGCCCCCAAAGGGACACGAGAGGTGCATGCTACCCCCACCCCCCCTCCTTCTCCCCCTCCCCCGATTTGTCGATCCCCCCACGCCCGAGATATGCCGCGAGCGCAGAGGGGGAGTCGGGGAGGAGAGGAGGACCTGGAATATTTTCGCTTGGCGTGCGCTCGGGCTCCCGTGGCCCTGGGACAGGTCACAGAAACGACTCGGGAGGAAAAGCTGACCCCGGGAAAAGCCGTGGGCTCCAGAACTTGGCATCGTTTAACCGATCCTTATCCCCATCCCCATCCCGATCCCCATTCGGGGAAACTTGATACTCGAGTACGCCAGAACTCGGGTTTGCCGACGCTTTTTGACGGGCCCGTCTTGGATTTTGACGACCCAGTTTTCGTAGGATGTTTCCAGCGGGGACTCGCGTCATGTTTCAGACTGGGTCTCGTCATTTTCATGATGGCCCCGTCAGGCCAACCCGAGTCCTCCGAACACGAGTCTTACGTCTCCCTGGCTCATCATCCTACCACCAGTTGGGGATATGCCCTTCGCAACGCGAAGGGAACAGCCTATATCCCCATCTAGCGGGGTAAGTCGGCCAGGGTGGCCCAGGCCACGCCTGTAGGGATACGGATCGGTTCAACGATACTCAAGAACCCACTTCCACCAGGACGTCTTTCCCTCCCGCTGCCGCTTCCGTTTCCTCCATTCTCGGGCCAGTCCAGGAAGCGGTGACCACAGGCGTTGGGACAGGCTGGAACAGTCCAGGAAGCGGTGTCCACGGGCGTTGGGACAGGCTGGAAATCCAGAGGGGTGTTCGTAGTTCTTTGTATCCTCGATCAGCTCTCTAATTCTCCCCCCCTTGTTTCTTCGAGGAGGCTCGGCGTCAAGCGCAAGGGGGTGGGGCGAGGAGGGACGGGATCATGCGGGATCCTGAGAAGGCATGGGGCCTCTCCCAGTAGAAAGCGTCCCGCCTCTGGAAGCCTTCTCACCAGCCTCCGAGCCCTTCCAAGAAGCCCCCTGCGTTCCTGAAAGCCGGCCCCCCCTCGCCCCACATTCTGAGCGCCGCCAGCCCTCTCCCTCGGGGAGGAGAGTCCGACTATCGCGGGCCTGGGTTGCCACCAGGTCCCCCCGGAAGATCGACTACTGCTGCAGGACGCAGCACAGGGGCTGCCAGGGCGAGGAGCCGGAGTGAGAGCGGGTCCGCGAGGCGCGAGCGACCGCGAAAATCTGCTTATGTCGTGGTCCCGTCGCAGTCTCTGCGACCCGTCACGGGGGCGTCGTCTTTTTCACGGCGCCTGGCCTCGGGGATCCCCTCGGGCCGCGTCTGAGTAGCATTAAGTCGGGCCTGTCCCCCTACAGGGGGATTTTCGACGAAAAATCAATAATACCCCAAAAATAATCAAAAAATAGTCCAAAAATAGTCTGGTGATTGTTTTTCCCCAATCAGAGCTTGCCTCTGTAGGGGTCCTAGAGGATTCATATGGTTAGGTTAGGTTTGCCGCCGATTTTCGCTGCACGCCTGGGTGCCCCGGCGTGCCCAGGGGTGCCGGGGTGCCCGGGGGTGCCCAGGGGTGCCCAGAGGTGCCCTGGGGTGCCCAGAGGTGCCCGGGGGTGCCCGGCTGCCCAGGGACCCGGGTGCTCTATCGTCTTCTAGCCCTATAGTCACATAGCCATATAGCCACATAGACCAATAGCCCTATAGCCCCATAGCCCTATAGCCTTATGGCCCTATAGCCCAATAGCCCAATAAAAACCCAATAGCCCACTAGCCCATACAGCCCTAGAGCCCTGTGGCCCTATAGCCCTACAGCCCTGAAAAGATTATGATTGGGTTTTTTCTCCAGTATCATTCGAGTATTGTTTGGCCTTTTGGGGGTATTTTGGGGTATCTTTTATTTTTCGTCGAAAATCCCTCTTGTGGGGAACAGGCCCGACATAAACGTAGGATATATTTTTTTGGTGGGGGAGGGTAGGCGGATGCGTCACGCCGTGGCAAAGTTACAGGCGTGCGCCGCGCCAGCAGGCGCGGCGGCGCGGCACCACCGCGCTGCTCGGCGGCGGGGCGGCTCGGAACCACTCCTCGGCCGCAGGGCTCATCTCTCTCCTCGGCTCCTGTCTCCCTTCCTCCTCCTGCTCCTCAGCTCTTGTCTCCCCTCCTCCTCCTCCTCCTCCTCCTCCTCCTCCTCCGCCTCCTCCTCCTCCTCCTCCTCCTCTCCTCCTCTCCACTCCCCCTCCTCCTCTCCCCTCCTACTCCTCCTCCTCCTCCTCCTCCTCCTCCTCCTGTTCCTGCTCCTGCTCCTCCTCCTCCTCCTCCTCCTCCTCCTCCTCCTCCTCCTCCTCCTCCCCGATCTCTCTCCTCAGCTCCTGTCTCCCCTCCTCCTGCTCCCGCCTCCAGCCTCGTCGCTCTCCGTGGCCCTTTTGGCGCGAGGCTTCTGCCCGAGGGGCTCTCAGCCCTCGTGCATCATGGGACACCGCTGGACCGCGTCAAGACTCGAGTATTTAGTGAGCTCACGGCTGAGCAACTGCCTTTCCCGATCCTTCGCTGCACCAAGCGAGGTTTGTTTACCAGCTTGCGCGTACGGATGGCCTCACCCGAGGGCCAGAGGGGAACAGTGCAGCTCATGGAGCCGGCATCGCGTACAAGGGCAGCCAGTGCAAGTGGAATTGGCCGACGCGCGAAAGGTGTTTCAGGTGCTGTGAGCTTCTGGCCCCGAAAGTGCAGGTCGAACGAGAGCCTCATCGCGTCTGGGCCGAGTCTTGCGAAGGTAAGTGGTGGTGGTGGTGGTGGTGGGGGGGGGAAACAGTGCTTGCGCACGCGCGAGGAGTTCGACAGCACCCGCCACCTGTCATCACCAGTCGGCAAAAGGGCAGCCAAGTGCAAGGAGCAGTGACCGTGGCACGGCACGCAGCGCCGTCCCCGCCCGACCCCAGAACGCTCGCTCTCCACAGCACCCATACCCTCAAGGCACGTGGCGGGCCTCGACGAAACCTCGTTCTCGCTTGTGGTCGCCGCGCTGCAGTCCAAGGGCGCCGAGGCCAGCGCCCCGGAGCCAGCGCCGTCCAAGTCGCCCATGCCCAGGGCCCAGCTGCTCGCGGAGGCCACCACCAAGCCCCGCAGGGTCGCGAAGCAGCCTGAAACGCACACCACCACTGTCGCGGTGGGCGAGGTCTGTCTCTTGGCCCACAGTCTGCAGCTACAGTGGGTGTGGTTACGCTGGGGGGGTGGTTTGCGATCGGCGCCGGTGGGGGCTTTGGGGGCCACCACGTTGCGCCAAGGGTTTGCTGACCGCCATCGTCGTGGCGCGGCAGAGATCCCTGTCGAGGTCGTCGCCCGCCTCCCCAGGCGCGGGTTGCAAACCACACCCTGCGGAGTCGCCTACAGCCAAGACGCTGAAGTAAGGACCACCTTGGGCTCTGGAGGGGCTCTGGTTTCCGGGGCGCTCCTTCGAGTTAGGGTTTGGAGCCTACACGCGGCCGAGGCTCGCCGTGGCTACAAAAGGCCCCTTCGTTCCTTTATTTGGCGCTCCTTGTGGTAGCACGCTGCGCGTCCAGGCCGAGTGCTGGAAGACGGCGCCCGGCAGGCGCAGCGCCGCCGCCTGCAGGGCCAGCGCCGAGAGGCGGGGCTGGCCGCCCCTGGTCGAGCCGCAGCGGACACCGACGTCGGCGGTGCTCAAGGGCAAGGACGTGTTTTCCACCACCACCACCACCATGAGTTGGAGGGGGGAAATAGGAGGAGGAGGAGGGAGGGAGGAGGAGGAGGAGAGCAGGAGGAGCGAGGAGGAGGCGGAGGAAGAGGAGAGGAGGAGGAGGAGAGGAGGAGGCGGAGGAGGAGGAGGAGGAGGAGAGAGGAGGAGGAGGAGGAGGAGGAGGAGGAGGAGGAGGAGGAGGAGGAGGAGGGAGGAGGAGGAGGAGGAGGAGGAGGAGAGGAGGAGGAGGAGGAGGAGGAGGAGGAGGAGGGGGAGGAGGAGGGGGAGGAGGAGGGGGAGGAGGAGGAGGAGGGCAATCATTAAGGGCAAGGGTGGGTCGGACTCGGCATTGCAGCAGTCTGCGCGCCGTCTTGCCTTGCTCGAGGCTTTCACCCGAAGGACCGAGGGGGGTGCACTTGCAGCTACCGCCACCCTCCCCAGCGAAGAGAGGCAAAGGCTGGTTTCGCTGCCGCTGGTTTCGCCAGCGCTGGTTTCGCTGGCCGCTGGTTCCGCCGGGGCTGGTTTCGCCGACGGCTGGTTTCGCCGACGGCTGGTTTCACCGACGGCTGGTTTCGCAGACGGCTGGTTTCGCCGGGGAGCTGGTCGACATCGTCGTCGTCGTCGCCGTCGTCATCGGCGTCGTCGTCGTTCGTCGTTCGTCGTTCGTCGTAGTCGGGCGGGTCCCTAACTGGCGGGCCGGGTGGGCGGGACACTGACAGGACGGTCGGGCGGGCGGGACCCCCACGGGCGGGTCGGGCGGGCGGGACCACAATGGGACGGTCGGGCGGGCGGGACCCCAACGGGCGGGCTTGCCGGCACGAGAACGGGCGGGACCCCGACGGGCTGGTTGGGCGGGCGGGGCCCTGACGGCCGCGTCGGGCGTGCGGGACATGAAAGTTTCAGGAGGAGAAAGAACACACAGACACAATGAACCGTCGATCCCCCCAGAAAATAGGGGAACATGTGGGCAGTGGGAGGGGGAAGACAGAAGCCCAGCAAACATGGGAAGATACAGGGAGTCCTTTTTATTTGCGTGCATTTATCTCTGTGTCCCAGGGCCCCTTCAGAGCCGTTGGGCGGGACGGCCAGCGCGCGAACGGGCGGGGCCACAACGGGCGGGTCGGGCGGCGAGGCCCTCCACGGGCGGGTCGGGTGGGCGGGGCCCCGACGGGCGTGTGGGGCGGGCGGGGCAGTCGAGCGGGCGGGGGGAGTGGCCTGCCAGCACGCGAACGGGCGGATGGAGAGGCCTGCCAGACGACGACGACGACGACGACGACGCTGATGCTGACGCTGACGCTGACGCTGACACTGACGAAGAACGACGATTGACGAACGACCAACGACGAACGACGACCGACCAGCGACCAACGACGACGGCGACGACGAGGACGACGTAGGAGGAGGACGACGACGCATCAACACGACCACGACGCACGACGGCGACGACGACGACGACGACGGCGAACGACGGCGAACGACGATGGCGACGACGACGAGCGATGACGGCGGCGACGGGCGGGTCTGGCCAGCCAGCGTCAGAGAAACCGGCCGGGCGGAACCAGCCGTCGCCGAAACCAGCCGTCGGCGAAGCCAGCCGTCGCCGCGAAGGAAGGCCAACGCACAGAACCGGGAGGGCGGCCGACGGCACGAAGCGCCAGGAGCAGCGTGGAGCACCTCGACGACGACCCCTTCGCCTGCGCCCTCGCGCGCGTCGCGCCCGGGCACTCTCTCCGTGCAGGGGAAGGGGCCGCGTTCGGCCTCGGCCCGTGTGGGCTCCTGCCCGCAGAGCCGCGAGGGGCCGAGGCCGCAACGGGCCGAGGCCGAAGCAGACCGATTGAGCCGAGATGGGCCTGACGCCGAATCGGGCCCTGTCCCAGGTGCCTTGGTATCGCTCGGACGTGTGCATTTTTCCTTCGGCGAGGACCATCGAGGAGCATCCTTGATCAACTGGCGAAAAAACCACGCACGAAACCGAAAAAAACACAGGGAATGGACGTCCGAGCGATGGCCAGAATCGGGCCTTGTCCCAGGTGCCTCCCTGCTACGGCTTTGTCCCTGGCAACAGGCGTCTCTTGCGCGTGCGGCGCTGCCGGCGGCGCGCCTGCATGAGAGGTGGCCTTCTTTCGGAGGTGTCGAGCCCTCAAGGGGAAGACAAGGGACCAGTGTACCTGCTTGGGGGGGGAGGCTGGTGGGGAAGTAACGCGCTCCGTCCAGCATCCTTGTGCTGCTGCTGCTCTTCCCCGTCATATCCACATCCTCCTCGCGCTCATCCTGCTCTTCCTCCCTTCTCTTATTTCATTCCCCCTGCTGATCGTCCTTCTGCTCCTCCTCTTGCTGCTTCTCTCATCTGCCTCCTCCTCCTCATCATCCTCCTCATCCTCCTCATCCTCCTCCTCATCCTCCCGCTCCTCCTGCACTTCCTCCTTCCTTTGTGCTCCTCCTCCTGCTCCACATCCATCCACCTCCTCATCCTATTGCTTCTGCTCCTTCTCACGCTCCTCTTCTCCCTGTTCCCTATCCTCTCCCCCTTCATCCCTCCATTTCGTCTGGATGCCAAAGTTGTGTGCCCCTGGAGGCCTCCTCCCACTCCTCCCGCATCTCTCTAAGAACAACAAAAAACGCCTTAAACATAAACTTTTGGCGCTCCG